GTTATCTCTGACCCCAGCATCGGCAGTTCCTACTATCTCCGAGTGGGTGTTACATCAAGAACCCAGATGCCCTCTCAGATGGGTCAAAAGATCCCATGCCACTATCCTAAAGATGAATGGGTTGGGGGGGGGGGAAAGAGTGATATTCCCCCCACTGCCCATTGTCCTGCCCTTCATCCCATCATCAGTAAAACTAGTTGTTTATTAAGTATTGCTGTTGCTTCTGGGAGTTCACTGTGTACAGATTAACCATGGTGTTTCCCACACTATAACCGGGTGAGTGAATTGCGTGTGCCCACAGTCAGTTAATTAATGTTTTTTCCCTACAGGTATGAAGTTACACAGACCGGAGGAAAGCATTTCAAGGAACCACCCAGTGACAAAAGCTTTGAACTGGTGATGTAACAAAATTAAATGGGGAATGCCGACGCTTTAAAAAAAAATGAAGATTTTAAAGGGGTAAAGGTTTACAAGAACAGATCCAGGGACAGTTCTGCAATTGGATTGGAGAAGCTGGGGAATACTTTGCACCACAAAAAGTTACTGCACAGAGGCATTTGAAGCAGAATTCCCACATAAACCACAAAAAAGGTACTGAACAGAGGCATTTGAAGCAGTATTCCCACACAACCCACAAAAAGCTAGCGTCCAAGTTCAGTGGGTAAAAGGGAAGGCAAATGGAATTCTTGCCTTTATTTCAAAGACAATTCAGTATGAAAATAGGGAAGTCTTGTTAAAACTATATTTGGCACTGTTAAAGACCACACCAACAATATTGCGAACTGTTTTGGTTCCTTATCTAAGCAAATACAGATTGTCACTGTGGTCACTGGACGGACAAAGTACACTGGGTTGACGCTGGGATTGAAGGGACTCTCTTATGAGGAGAGGTTGAGTAGACTGGGCCTGTACTCATTGGAATTTACGAGATTGAGGGGAGACCTTATCAAAACATATAAGATTTTTGGGGGATTTGACCACACCTAGGACCAGAGGGCACAATCTCAGAATAAGGGGCTGCACGTTTAAGAAAAAGGTGAGGAGGAATTTCATCCTTACCTGGTCTGGCCAACATGTGATTCCAGACCCACAGCACTGTGGGCGACTCTTAACTGCCCTCTGAAATAGCCAAGAATCTGTGGAATTCTTTACCGTGGAGGGCTGTTGAGGTTGGGTCTTTAAGTCTATTCAAGGCTGAGATGGAGAGATTTATAATCAGTAAGGGAATTGAGGGTTATGGGGTAATGCAGGAAAGTGGAATTGAGGATTATCAGATCAACCATGATCTCATTGAAAGGCAGAGCAGATTCAACGGGCTGAATGGCCTCCTTCAGCTGCTATATCTTGTGGTCTTCTGGAAGACAATGTAGAAGGAAGCTTCGATCAAGGCTTTTGAACTCCTGAGAGGTCTGGACAGAGTAGATGGGGGAAATCTGCTCCCACTGGTGAAAGGATTGAGAACTAGACAATATAGGTAAAAGGAGCAGGGGTGATATGAGAGAAAGCAATTTTAATGGGTTCTGGAGCGCACTGCTTGAGTGAGTGATAGCGGCAGCTTCAATTGTGGCTTTCCAAAGGGAATCTGAAAAGGACCTGAAGGGGGAAAGCTTACAGAGCCACAGAGAAAGGGTGAATGGAATAGTAATGTCTAAAGTCCTCTTGCTGAAGTGTAATATAATCATCGTACAATTCTTAAGCTCCACATGACAATAAATCACAACAATAAATTTTATGATAATCCTTGCAATTAGGAAGTAATTGTGGACAACACTTGTGAAAGTAGTTTTTTTTATATTCATGAAGTCGATCAGCATTTATTGCCTATCCCTAACTGCCCTTGTGAAGGGTATCAACGCACCCACACAGACAATGTATAGACTTTGAAATCTTTGAGACTTCCTGATAGGATAAAGGCACTGCATGAACAAAAGAACAGTACTTAACATTTTTTTTCCTAAAATTAGCGAAGATTTGAGTAAAAATATCTCCTTTACCATCAGTCTAAACATACGAACTTTGAAGAGCTCATTAACAGCATCATCACAGTCTTTATCCAGCTGCAGCACCAGTTCAAATGCAGATTCTGCCTCAGCATACCTCTGTAAAGACAAGTGGTCAATGTTAGTTTTTCAACCTTGCTGTTAAATAATCCCAAGTTTATTTCAAACATTACTATCCTTTTCTTCTTTCTGTATCGAATTCGATGTGAAACCAAGGCTCTCTCTGTCTCTTTTCCAATGGGATTTGAACAGTTCCTGATAATGCTCTCCCAGGTGTCATATAGACAATGGGCAATTCCATTAAACACATTTAATATGGATATATTTATAAAACACCTTTAATGTAGCAAAATGTCCCAAGTTATCAAACAGAATTTGACATGACTGAGCATTTCCCAAATTTATTCCTCTGCTGTTTTGTTCCTCAGCCCCCTCAGCACCAAACTACACTAATTCTAATTATCTGCACCCTCTCCATAGCCTATTATCCCTCGGCATTTTAGCTCATTTTAAGATGTTTCTTATTTGTTGCGAGAGATAATTCTGATGACGGTGAGACTTCTGACCCTGGACTGCTATCTTACTAGTGCTGTTTGAGAGGACATGTAGAGTGAGCTGATGAAGAAATCGTACCTGATCTTCCCCAGTTTGCAATGGGTCAGTGCGTTTCACTGGTAACTGAAAGGGTGATGGCTCAAGACAATCCAAGGATGAAGCCTTCACTAACTTGAGGGGGCTGCAGATGCCTGAAGGTAATGGTTCCAAGCTAATAATGCAGAGTCCCAGACTAATGCTCTGCATTCAAATCCCACCGTGGTAGATAAGTAAAATTTAGCAACTCTTGTTGGGTGGTGTTAGTGACTCTACTACTCAGCCAGAAGGTCCACGTTCTATCTCACCTAGTCCAGAGGTGTATCATACATATCCGACCCATTTAATTAAAAGTATCCATCTGGATGTTCCTGTGGACGGCTGTAGAATTCCTTTTGTCTCCACCATTATTGCTGTGATTCATTACCAAGGCAGGTATATGTCCATGACCAAAGGGCATAAGTTTATGATGAGGAGCAAGTGGTTTAGAGGGGATCTGAGAAAGATTTTTTTTCACCTAGAGGATAATAGACATATGAGACAGTCTGCCTGAGTGGGGTGATGGAAACAGGCAGTCTCACTATCTTTAACAAGCATCCGAATGGGCGCTTAAAATGCCAAGGCGCAGTAGGCTGTGGACCAAGTGCAGGTAAATGGGAATAGTGTAGTTTGGTGACTGTTGGTCAGCTGACATGGTGCGCTGAAAGGCCTGTTTCTATGCTGTATGACTCAATGACATCAATAATCATGGAATGACAGAATCCCTACAGTGCGGAGGCAGGCCATTCAGCCCATCGACTTTCAGAAAGCATTTGACAAAGTCCTGCATAAGAGATTATTGGCAAGATTAAAGCGCATGGGATTTGGGCAAGTGTATTGAGATGGATAGGAAACTGGTTCTTTTATTCATTCACAGGATGAGGGGGTCACTGGCCAGGCAGCATTTATTGCCCAGAGGGCAGTTAAGAGTCAACCACATTGCTGTGGGTCTGGAGTCACATGTAGGCCAGACCAGGTAAGCATGGCAGTTTCCATCCCTAAGGGACATTAGTGAACCAGATGGGTTTTTCCTGACAATTGACAATGTATTCACCATCATCATTAGATTCTTAATTCCAGATATTTATTGAATTCAAATTCCACCATCTGCCTTGACAGGATTCGAACCCAGGTCCCCAGAACATTACCTGGGTCACTGGATTAACAGTCCAGCGATAATACCACTCGGCCATTGCCTCCCCTCTTCTCTCATTGACAGAGAGGAAACAAACGGTAGGAATTAATGGGTCCTTTTCAAATTTGCAGGCAGTAACGAGTGATATTATAGCATCATATTAGATGATACCAAGCTGGGTGGGAGGGTGAACTGTGATGAAGATGCAGAGATCCTTCAGCATGATCTGGACAGGTTGGGGGAGTAGGTAAATGAATGGCAGATGCAGTATAATTTGGATAAATGTGAGGTTATTCACGTTGGAAGCAGAAAAAAGAAGGCAGATTACTACCTGAATGGCTGTAAATTGGGAGAGGGGAGTGTGCAGCGGGACCTGGGTGTCCTTGTGCACCAGTCGCTGAAGGTAACCATGCAGGTGCAGCAGGGGGTAAAGAAGCTAAATGATATGTTGGCCTTCATTGCGAGAGGGTTTGAGTACAGGAGCAGGGATGTGTTGTTGCAGCTATACAGGGCCTTGGTGAGACCACATCTAGAATATTGTGTGCAGTTCTGGTCTCCTTTTCTGAGGAAGGATGCTCATGCTCTTGAGGGAGTGCAGCGAAGGTTTACCAGGCTGATTCCGGGGATGGTGGGTCTGACGTATGAGGAGAGACTGACTAGTTTGGGACTGTTTTCGCGAGAGTTCAGACAAATGAGGAGGGATCTCATAGAGACGTATAAAATTCCAATAGGACTGGACAGGGTAGATGCAGGGAGGATGTTCCCGATGGTGGGTGTGTCCTGAACCAGGGGTCACAGTCTGAGGATACGGGGTAGACCATTTAGGACAGAGACGAGGAGACATTTGTTCACCCAAAGAATGGTGAGCCTGTGGAATTCATTACCACAGGAAGTAGTTATATTCAAGAGGCAGCTAGATATAGCACTTGGGGCAAATAAGATCAAAGGTTATGGGGAAAAAGTGGGATTAGGCTGTTGAAGTGGATGATCAGCGATGATTGTAATGAACGGCAGCGCAGGCTTGAAAGACTGAATGGCCTCCTCTTATCTTCTATGTGTCAGCACAGTCCCTCCAAAGAGCATCCCACAACCGTAACCCCACATTTCCCATGGCTAATCCACATAGCCTGCATATTCCTGAACACTATGGGCAATTTACCATGGCTAATCCACCTAACCTGCACATCTTTGGTCTGTGGGAGGAAACCGGAGCACCCAGAGGAAACAGCATAGAAACAGGGAGAATGTGCAAACTCCACACAGATAGTGGCCCGAGGGTGGAATCGAACTCGGATCCCTGGTGCTGTGAGGCAGCAGTGCTAACCACTGTGCTGCCCAGAGGGAGAAGGATAGAAGGAGACCATTCAGCCCATTAAGCATGTATCTGTTCTTTTGAACAGCAATCTAATTGGTCCCATTTACTCAATTCTTCCAGGTGTCCTTCCAGCATTTTTTCTCCTGTAGTACTTATCAAATCCCTTTCAAAGGCTACTAACTGAGTCAATATCTGCACCCCATCAGACAATGCATCCCACAATGTAACTATTCACTACATTGGCTTTCTTGTGTCTGGTTCTTTCACGAGCTACCTTAGATCAACCTTTCAGCTTTTAGAGGGACGCTCACTTTATTTCCTTTATCAAAATCCTTTCTGATTCTGAGCACCAACAAGAAGCATGTTTGAGGACCATTCCAATAAAATTGCTCAGTTGTTGCTTGTTCAGTGTCCAACAAATCTACTTAGATACACTTGTCGACATCACAAAACAGACCAGGAGAGCATCATTTTGTGAAATTTGAAATTAAATTAACAAATCTTGGGGAACCTGGACACAGCCCCTTCCAACCCTTCACCAACCTCCCATCCAACACCCTCTCCATCCTATCTTCAATGTTCACCTTCCTTTCCACATCTCCCATTCCTGCCATTTACCTATCCACACTTCCCCGCCTCCCCTCAATGCTGATTCATTGCATTCCAAACGATTAGTAAAGGATACAAAATGGACTCAGGGAATGGACAAACAAAATCTGGAGTAAATCAATATATTAACAGACATCTGGAGTGGATCAATGAGCTTCAGCAGCTGAAGTGGACTGATACATTCACCTTTATTCCAACGAGTGCTCTTCCCTTTCTGAAGTAACCTTTCGGCCAGTCACCAGCGAGTCTGATGGAGGTTTCAGCATCTTCAAGTGCAAGGTTATACTTCTGAAGTCTGTCGTAGCAATAGGATCGATTTCCAAAATACCTGCACACGCAGCAACGTTTTTATTTAGAAACCAGTTCAAGTCTGGCAGTTAGACACACCATTGGTCTGCCATTCTCACATTGCAATCACTTAATCCGAACCAGTAAACTCCTTTCTCCCCGAGCGCTCCATCGCAGCCCACCACCCCCCCATTGCATAAATGCTGCCCCCTCCACACTTCATGTCAGCTCTGTTGAAGAGTCATCTAGATTCGAAACATTAGCTTGCTCTCTCTCCAGTCTGACCCGCTGTGACCTCCAGCAGTTTTGTTTTCAACCATACATGCATCAGGCTAGTAAAATGCAACTCAGAATCTCACAATTGTTAGCAGCACGGAAAGAGGCCATTCAGCCCATCATGCCTGCAATGGTTCTATTACCAGTGTCAATCTCCTGCCTTTCCCCCATATACTTGCACACTATTTCTATCCAAATAATTGTTCAATACTCTGTTGAATGCTCAATTGAACCAGCCTCCACCGCAAGCCCAGGCAGTGCATTCCACACCCTAAATACTTGCTGTGTGCAGAGGTTTTTATTTTCCCACATCACCCTTGTTTTTTTTTTGCACAACTCTTTAAATCTGTACCCCTCTCGTTCATGTCCCTTTTACAAGCGGGAACATCTCCCTATCTACTTTGTGAAACCCGTTCATGATTTTGGAAACCCCGATCAGATCTCCTCTCTGCCTTCTTCTCTCCAAGGGAACAGTCCCAAGGTCTTCAATTTCCCCACATCACTGAAGTTTCTCATTCCTGGACCCATTCTTGTAAACAGTTTCTGCATCTCTCCAACATGTTCACATCCTTTCTGTAATGTGGCACCCACAACTGTATAGAATACGCCGACTGAGATCTAACAACATCAAGCTGCACCCCCATTTCCTACCTACTAACCTCATCCCGGCCGCTTGACCTGTCCGTCCTCCCTGGACTGACCTATCTCTTCCCTAACTCCCCACCTACACTCACCTTTACTGGCTCCATCCCCGCCTCTGTGACCTGCCTGTTTCCTCTCCACCTATCTTCTCCTCTCTCCCTATTTATTTCAGAACCCCTTCCCCTCCCCCATTTCTGATGAAGGGTCTAGGCCCGAAACGTCAGCTTTCCTGCTCCTCTGATGCTGCTTGGCCTGCTGTGTTCATCCAGCTCTACACCTTGTTATCTCAGATTCTCCAGCATCTTCAGTTCCTACTATCTCTTATACAACACTTCCTTGTTCTTGCATTCTATTGCCCTGTTATGGACCAGGTCAAACACCCTTGAAATACATTAAGAAGATGGCATAGTCCCTAACTTTGTCTTATTTTAAAGGCAAGTGTCAGGTGTTGTGTTCCAGATGCAATTTGATTGGTCAACCTACCAGATTTGAAGCAAAACACACATTACTCATTCACTATAGTTAAAATAGAACAAAAGAAAGAAGAAATTGGAATAACTTAACCCTACTGGAAAACTTAACAGAATAATAGTTCATTTAACTACTAGACAGTAACAGTACCAATGTTGTAACATCCCATAAACATGCCCTTGACAATGGCAAATTCAGTAAAAGAGATGTAATTCTCCAGTCTGGGTGGAAAAACATCAAGAGAAACCTTTGAGAGATAGTAGCAAGGAGAGCTGTACTGCAGCTTCCAACACACCTGCAACTGTTACTGAAAAACCAAAATTAAAAATCCTGGTTCTGTGGGAGCTTGACCCCACCCATTCAGGCTGCTTCTATTGTTTCAGCTTAAAAAAAAAAACCCAATGCCTCACAAACTGTTTACTTTATTGGCTCCGAGTAAACCAAATGGCACCTCTGTCTCAACCTTTCTTCATGAAAGAAAGGATAAAATACATCCCTTAAAGCCACGGCATTTTCATAGCCCCTAATGATAAAGCCGAGGATGCTGAATGCTTTACTAATTGTTCTCTCTACTTGTCCTGCCACTTTCAATGGTCTGCGCATGTATATACCCAGGTCCCTCTGTTCCTACAGCATCCTTAGAATTATACACCCTATTTTATATAGTCTTTCAATTTCCCTCCTACCAAAGGGCATCATCTCACACTTCTCTGCATTGAACTTCTTTTGCCATGTATCTTCCACTCTACCAACTTGCCTATGTCCTTTGGAGTTCCACATTTTCCTCCTCACAGGTTACAACTCTTCCAAGGTTTGAATCATCTGCAAACTTTGAAATTGCTTCCACACAGACCAAGATTTAGATCATTAACATATATCTACATCTGGACCATTAATGTATCGTAACAGTGAGCTACAAGGGAAGGTAATGGAATTCCCCACATAGAGGGGGCAAACAGGTCCAAGTCACTATGTCACCTGGCAAAGGAGCAGTTCTCCATCAGCTTGTGTGATTTCAAATAAACCTGTTGGACTATAACCTGGTGTCCT